ATGCGCGCAGTCTAGTGTTGCGCAGAGACGATGATGATAGCACGAAAACCCAGCTGGCCCCGGCTTATGTGCGCCACGCGCTTGGGACTCCTCTTGAAGAAGTAGAAGAAGGCAGACATCTTTGGTGTTCTGCTGTAACGTTCTACGACCATAGTCCCTTTTAGTTGTGGGCACAGGTTCGCCCTTTAATAAATACGTTTTATTACACCCCGAGTCCATCAACGTCGTTACAGTATTACCGTTGCGTACACAATATCTTGGTGCAGTTCCCTTTTTTGAACCATAGACATTTTACTATTAGGCCATAGACATATACACCATAGGCGCACGCACACATCAAATACAATTTTATCAATTGTGGACCCTACTAATAGGACTAGATGCCGCAGTGAGCTGGATCACTCTGTTGCACATTTTCGAATGACCTATATCTTGGCGTTGATTGGTAGGAACTCTAAAATGTGAAACAGTTTCACACATTATCCCTCAGGGTAACCAGCGATGTGGCGTAGACTTTAGCGTACGCAGTGTTAGACTCAAAGCGTTGCGCTCCATAATGATACTGACAATGTGGTGACTGCCATGAAGCTGAAAACCTTTGCTACAAGGGGTTTGAGCGCGACATAGTGGCACTAGAGCGCGTATACTTAACTGTGGTCGTGTACTCTCCTTTATTCCTTTCCAATTTGTAAAGATGCGATGAAGGCAGAAATGTTCTGGGCTCGTGTGCTCATATTAGGGTGCACGTTAAGGAATCCTGGGTGGTCAAAATTTCCGGAGCCCTCCACTATACAGCGTCTCTCATAATCATATTATGGTTTTGGGACGTCAAACCCCCAAAATCAATCAATCAAATCTGTAAAGACGAATTTGGGCGCTTACGAATAGGTAGTAATATTTGACGAAATGATATCTTTACTGCCTTTGAATAGTGCCTCCGGCAATCCGTATCGAAATTCAAAGGATCTAAGCTATGCGGATAAAGGTAAATACTGCTGACGTGCTGCTCGCATGAAAAACAACTGTAACTACTAGCCTCCGATAGTTTTGCCCGGTTAGATGTTTCGAAAGAGTCAAATGTCTGCGCGCGATTGACGAAGCTGAGAAAACCTGAAGGCTCCAGACGCTGCCTCCCGAACTCAGAAAATGTTGCGCAGTGATCGCCGAAGTAGTGGTAAAAAGTTGACCCCAGGCTAAAGTTGGACGAGCTCGGAAGTAGGCCATGTACTAGTGATAGTGCTGCAGGGAGCAATCATGTCAGTGGCGTGTCCCCATGGTTAGTTGCTGCGTACAGAAGCAAGAAAACATTGTGCGCGGGCTGATGTTGAAACGCGGTTCCCTTGTTGGGCCTTCGCAAGGTCGGCCCACAATAGGAAAGACGCGAACAATGTTCCTGTCTCATCATAGCAGAGTTGGGCCGGGATACTTTCTTTCCCGCAACTGCACCCTTGGCATTCGCACACCGCTTGGCGCGAGGGGTGCGTGTCGCTTCTCGGCAAGGGACGAGTGTGCGTGGCAAAGCTTAACGGATGGAAGCGGTGGCTGCAAGCCGTCAGAGCCCCGACGGCGCTGTGCGCGCAGCAAACGCAACAAACAACGCCGCCGCCCGAGCGGATATTGAATGGCCTCCGGTGCCTAGGTTAGAGAAGGAGGAAGCGTGTCGTGTCGAGCTGTTTGTCTTTGTCCGCGCTGCTGCTGCTGCACTTTTTGTTCCGGAAGAGCGTCAAATATTGGGTCACGCGAAACAAGGGGGCCGGGAATTTATGAATGTTCGGTATATGTCCGCACGCAGCAGCGCAGATCCGACATTTTATACGTCGAGATGGCTCGTATAGCATCCCAAACGCTATCGTCCTGAGAGGCTAGCTGAAAAGTGAAAATGGGTAGAAATATTTTCAGCACGTCGACATTTTCGAAGCTCTACATGGCTGTTCCATCGCCGTGATTGCCGGCGCTATGCACATAAAAACAAGCAAACAGTGCGAACAGATTTTTTTTTATTGAAGCAGCAATTGGGAGTATTTATATGTGCTTTTGTCCAATGCACGTATGACGTTCGCAAAAAAAAAAAGGGGTCGGACAGTGCACACCATGTACGCGTGACGATAACAATAAGTAAACATTGCTAGACATTTACGAGCATAAGTCAGGTTGAATTGCCTCGTGTATCCGGTGCGTTGTTGAGTCGCTTTTTTAATGTTATTTTTTTAATTAAGTTGCCACAGTGCAGAATGTCACGCACTGTTTAAGAGCGAGAGGCAGGAGCTGTTTCTTTAAAAACAAAATGCAGGTTGCAACTTACGACTATAATATCGCGTGAAATGCCTACACATACATCATTTGCTATCGCTCTTCGTATAATTTAAGAATTACTTGTGCTATTTATTGAGTGTACAAACAAGGGTGTTTTATTTGAGGGACAGAATCGTAATTGTTTTTTTCATGTTTTCAAGAAAAATTTTGTAACAATTATAAGCTTAAAAAACGGCTTTACTTTCGCTTTTACAATGAACAATGAATATGATGAACGACAGTTCTTGTGTAGTAAACTCGTTTCAGTACGCGATGAGGAAGCTGATGACACCGTCTTCCCAGTTTGATTGATATAGAACTAAGTTAACTAGAACATCAAGCAGCTGGGGCTGTGCTTACTGTACTACCAAAAAGACGTGAAGTATGTTATTAGTTACCGAATATTTCTCGGCTGTGGTCTTTTATTCCAACAATTTAGTTTTGAATTGAATTAGTCTAATGCGAACAACCTATTTAGGAACAAATGACTGTTTAGATCTATCTATCTATCTATCTATCTATCTATCTATCTATCTATCTATCTATCTATCTATCTATCTATCTATCTATCTATCTATCTATCTATCTATCTATCTATCTATCTATCTATCTATCTATCTATCTATCTATCTATCTATCTATCTATCTATCTATCTATCTATCTATCTATCTATCTATCTATCTATCTATCTATCTAAACTTGTGAGCTTGACTAAGACCACGATTTATACATGAGGACGCGCGCTTATGAGGAATGCGGCTATGAAAAGAACGTGGTTGTTGAGCACAAAATTACCTTGAAAGAATTAGTGCGAATGCGTTATGATGAACGTCATGACGTTATTCTAAGTGGCAGAAAAGCCAGCGCCAGCGTTGGCTACTTCGTCGGTGTTAGAAAAGTCAGGTAAAATGCACAGAAGGTCACTTCAATCAGCAATCATACCTTTGCATTCTGTGCGCCCGTCAAATTTGTTGTACCGCAAAGCCACGATGGTGCTTAAACCAGCTCCAGTAAAAGAAGCTACTTGTACAAACGTTATGTTCGTACGATGATAGTTGTGGACGCCGTGGTGCAATGTATAAACAATACATATTTGTTCCAATGACTCAACAAGCTATATAGGTGACCATTGCTCAACTCTGTATGGATACACGGGCCATCATAATTGTGTTTTCCGTTGCATCTCGCCTTATACGTGCTATTCGTTAAAATAAATTTGACGTATGTGTTCTAATGTTAGTGCCGATGTTAGGTCGGACCAAAAGCTACCGTTAATGCGCCAGGGTAATCGACGTAGTTAGTAAGCTCACAATACGCGTACAATGACGCAAAGTGCCTAAAAATGTCAACTCACCTTGCAACGCTTGGCGTAAACAAAACGAGGCCGAAAGCGGACGGCTTGACGTGTCATCCAGTTGTTCAGGCTGCATGATCTACCTGATTTTTTCCCTATAAGCTACCAAAAACGTGCCGATGCTAGATGAAGCAACTTTTCGTACGGGTTCTCTACGACCACAAGTGCTTGCAAGACGTAAGCGGATAGTACCAGCTAAGTGTGCGTAGCGTCCCCGTAGGCGGCATAATAAAAATAAACAGTTAGGGGAAGAGGGGCCGCCTTCGCTTTGCTGAAAGCTTTGCGAACAGTGCATGGTTAGAAACCCAGCTACGCTCAGGCAGCATCGTGACGAAAGCAAATGAGAGAGCAGAGGCAAAAACTGATGCTGCCACATTGCAACGTTTCGCCAACTTTCTTTCTACATCTTTCTTTTCGTTCTTTTCTCTGTCACTGTCTTTTTCTTTCTCTTTTTTGTTTGCTTGTTTCATGTCTCGTCCCTAGTGACAAAATCCTGAAGTTGGCATAACTGCTTGGCACGAAGTAGCACTGCTGTTCCGATATTGCGGCGCACAGCCGCCCGAGCTTTAGCGGACGTTGCCGCCAATACCTAGAGCTTAAACAGTTTCACTGCCAAAAAGATGTCTGGTCAAGTCGTGCTTCTGAGAAGCTAGAAGAATATTTACAGAGAGTTATTTTTCGGCATCTGCATCAAGCTTGTGGCGTTGATGAGTGTGAGTGCGATGTGTATACTTCGTGTGTTCCTCTTGAGCTTAGACACAGAATCAAGAAACCTTTGCAGCAGTGCCAGTGCTATGTTAAAGAGTAAGATTTAACAATTCAGATGAAGACTTTCGCACGATGTTTGGGAAGCTCATTAAACTAGACCTGCGCTGACATTACCACCAGAAATACAGTACAACAGCTAATACAAGAAAAGTTCGATTGGCGATACGCTGAAGCTTTATATCACGGTGTGTTAAAGCATACAGGTAAGGGCATGTTTGTTTGTGTATGTGTATGGATCTGTGTGTATGCGTGCGCGTGCGTTTGTGTATACCATGCGTCCTGGTCTTAGTCATATTGCATGACAACGTAAACACCCCAACTGGTGCACATCACTTATGTCACACAGCACCTGTGCAAGGAGGTTGTGCCATTTATTTTGTTCATACGGCACCATCCGATGTGCAAAGCTGCATTTTGCATCTGCGGAAGAAGCGTATTACTTGTATTGCGCATTATTGTTAACTAGTGAAATTGACACTTGTACGAAGTCCGAGGTTGTAGCTGCTCTGTGATAGCAAACTCAATGTTCTGAAACACATCGCAAGTCACCCTTCGCCATAACACGTGGGTTCTAACCACGCGCAGGTTTGTGCCGTGCCGTGACCATCCGACGCCTCATTGTGCCACGCTGGGTGCGCAACGGAACCGACACGCCCGTGGTACTGGACTGTGAGTACGTGTACAATGAGAACGACCTGAAGCTGGTGGTTAAGTGGTTCTTCAACGATGGAGCAGAGCCGGTGTACCAGTGGATACCCGAGATGCGCGTCCGCGAGGCGTTCGGTGTTCTGCAGGGACGCCTGGATGACACGTTCTCCGTTAGTTCGCGCGACATGTATTCGCAGTACCGCGCCATCCGCATCATGAGGCCCACCTGGGAGCTGAGTGGCAAGTACACCTGCGTGGTCACTTCGCTCGCTGGACAGGACGCTAGGCACCAGGACATGACTGTTTTTGGTAAGCACACCTTGGTAATAAAAGTGGAAACCCAGCGGTGTAGCATACCCTGAAGCAATAGGTATGGGTAGCCTTCATTGGCACGGTGGTTCACAGGAATCGAAAAGTAGGGAATACATCCAAAGAAGTCGTTGCCCTTACGGTCTCGTCTAAAATTAGTAGAGATCCGCGGAGTGTGCTGGAAGTGGTCCTAACCATGCGCAGCAGTGCCCTGCAGGGTGTGCAAATCCAGTGAAACTATTATTTCTGCAATTCTGGGTTTAAAAATAATGCGTTTACAAGTGTCATGCTGCAGACTAGAGGTCGTTGTGACCACGTACGCCACGTGGGGGCATATAGTTATTGTTCGTGGTAAATTTGTAGTATTTATCTTTCTGGTTTTCGATTACACATATACAAAATCATTTATGATCAAATCTAATGTGCAATCATAAATTTTCACAAGCTATTTGTATTTCATTTCTCTATAGAAAATAATATCAATTATTATCAACGAATATAAAGAGATAAGCAAACAACATAGCAAGGGCAAAACTGTTAAGGCAGGAATTATGCCGTATTACATTGGAAAATTTCCAACGTTTTTTAAAGCATTGATGTGTAAAGACAAAGCAAAACTATGTGGTATTGTGAAGAAAGTAATCCTAAGGAAACTGCGATTACAAACAGCCAGGATAACAACTTCACCAAGTCGAGTTGATGCACGTCCGAAACATGCCTCACTCCCCCCCCCCCCCCCCCCGAAAAAAAATAGGCTTGGACGAACTCCAGAAAATTTGCTAGCCTACTCCCGAAATTTTTACTGTGAAATTTAGACCCATCCAAAACTGAATTGGTCACCACCGAAACTCTCGTCCCCCACTTCTCAAATTTGAGTGGCTCACCTCTGAAGTATGTTTTACAAAAGTTGGAGATAGTCGTTTTCATCTTCTCCTTAGAATATAACACAACTGGCATAGGCTAAAACCTCTCGAATGTGTTTCCACAATACTACGTTGCTTTGCAGAGAAAAACTGTCTTTCTTTTTTCCCCTGTGAAGCGCAGACATTTACATAGACTGTTTTGGTAGGCAGTTGCTGCAGTTAGACAAGACGTGCTCTTTCGAAAGAATGTTTAACAGTAACAACCAGGCGTTTTCATTTGCTTTACGTGTCGAGCAGCGCACTTGGCTCACTTCAATCGAACTAATGTTTTCCACGTCGACATCAATCGCAAACACGCGCCGTCGACAGGAGAATATACGCGCTTCAATGTTTGCACATCATGAACACTCTTGACTCGGTGTATAAAGCCCGAAAGCGTTTCGGCGAATGTTTATCTCATCCCTACTGTGCTCATTCCGCCATTCGTGGCATGTTGCATGAACATGAAGCTACAGCAACGTCTACAAAGCTTTAGCTCAAGATGTGTAGTTCGGAACAGAAATATCGCGAATCTCCATTTCATATATCAGTATATTGGGCCACTTGCGCGAATGTCTTCCATTAGCGCTGTACGACCATGCACTTTCTTTGCGTGTTTTAGGAAACTGACAAGGTTCGGCTAATGGAGTTATCTCTAGTACCTTAACTTTATTGCGCACCACTCGTACAGAAGCTGTCGCCCAGCTCTTGTGTACACAAACGAAACCTCCGAACATGTTTAATGCCAAGGTGCCCATTTCGGCCCAGCGATGCCACGAATCGCAATTTCGCCTTGCCGTTTACCGCTGACTCGCGCTAACTGTTTTTGTATTACTTCCTTACAGTTATGCTCTTTCGTACCATGAGATGAAAAGGAAGGCTGCAATGTTTGGCCCATTACCTGTATGTGTAGCAGGCTTTTTTGTAGGCTGCTTAGCGACTAGCTGTCGCAAAGGTTTACACAAGTGTAGGTCTTACGAGATAGACAATTATTTCCAAGCACGCAGCAGATTCTTCGTGCCCCTCGTACCAGCATCGCGTGCTTTGCAGTAGTTCAGCCAGATACATCTGGAGCGGACCGGTTTTTATTTGTTTGACGTGGGTCATTGCTAGAGCTGTCCGCGCACTTTTCCTTTCGCCTTTTCGAACAAGCAACCTTTTTCCTTCATTAGGCGGCCACCATTCTTGCGCGTAAGACTGAGAGATTCGTTAGTTCTCTGCGGAATGTATGAGTCACGCAACTATATTGCGGCTCACTCACGCAAGATAAGAAATCGTGTGCGTAGAATAACGGCGCCTTCTATCTCAGCGTTTGCTCACAAAATATTTCGAACTGCGAAACACGCACGCGGACTACATGGCTTGGAAATCCCGCTTGCAGTTCAGAAAGTTTATTTCTAGATAACTTGTAGCAAAATGGAATGTCAGCTTGCAAACTTTGGTGGTCGTACTTCGTTTCCGACAAGGCTAACGTAATTTGAGGTTGAATTCTCCAGCTAAATGCATTAGTATCAAATACTGCATAATGCATTTGTGTGTACATTCGAGCAATGCTCCCTGTCAAGTAAAGTTAGGTAAGAATAAGCCCTCTTTAGGCACAAACGAGTACAGATTGGTTGCAAGAAGAAATCCGAAGATTTTTCGTTGCTCCGAATCATTTAATTCTTTTTTCGGGCGTTACCCTTTATTTAGACCACCTGAAATTTGGATTTCAGAAATATCTGATCAACTATGTCCCTTAGATCGTCACCCGAGAATAATAAGTAATTTGAGTCTTAAAACAGTTATAATTAGATATATATGCACGACGTGAACCTTTTGAGCTGCTGTGCTTTCCTTGTCGGGAAGTCAAAACTAAATTGCTCACCTAAACCTGTATGTCCAAGACCACGAAATGTACGCCATGAACCTCCCCTTTATACACAATAATAACGACAGAATGAGATCCAGATTCGCCATTGTCACAATAGATTACTCATTGCGGAGATGACTACTTGTGAATTTCGCAAGTCCGCCACATACCTACAACATACTAATCCTAAATCCTGTCAAGACAGGATTACTAATATTTTATAAAAGGACACCCAACTTAAGAGCACTAAAAAATTAGAAATGTGCTGTGAGAACGCGTTCAATAAGTCACCACGCTCGAACCAACGGTTCCAAGATTTTTCATCGCCTGAAGCATCCCCTAAAATTTAGTCCAGTCAGACACCTTTTAATAACGTATTTAGCACAAAGCTTGTCCAGTCTAAACACGTTACTTCTAATGCCGTACTATATATTACATTTAGGATAATTTATTTACAGTGGGGCTTAAAAACGGTGAAGTGCAAATTTTTCAACTATATAGAGGTCGCGCAAGGAATGGTACAGGTGACATCCGAACTACAACTGGCCTTACCAAAAATCGCCGCGTTATCAAAGCTCAATTAGACGAGTGAAATTAAGAGTACCAAGCACACAAAAATTATGTTTGTCATAGAAATATTTACCAGCAGATTTTATTATTTGTAATAATGCAATAACGCGTACAACCCACCAAGCTGGTGGGCTCATGTAGAAAGTTTAAATTCGTATAACCAACTGAAAGCAATATACTGTCTCTTATTTAGGTGTGTGGCCGTGCAAGTTTTAAATGCACATCAAGATAACTAGCGTTATGAATGCTTCATTAGCGACCTTAATTATGAGGCCTAAGGCTGCTTAAAGTGATGCTGTGATTGCTATGGGAAGGATGAACCAACTTCGCCGGCCTTACTTATGTTGCAAGAGTTAATACGAAAGCCATATATTTTCTTCGCGGTCTGATAAGATATGAGTTATAACAAAACAAAGCATTCGTTTTCTAGCATATAATACCTTAAGGTCATTTATGGTACATTTTATTCGCTAGGTCACTGATCAGTTTCCTGCAGGGTATGGACCATCTATGACTGCACTGAAAGCTATTTGCGTAAAAATAATGCTTTTGCAGACAACGAGTGTGTTGACTTGCTATATTTACACTTAAGAAGCGGAGTTCAGCGGGATTCGATTACGCAGACAAAAAATATGGGTCTATCGGAAGACAGTCAATTCTAAAAGAGCATCACACTACGTGACATAACCTGAAGTAACGTGTCTACTTGCGTATTACCAGCAATTGTTTACGCCATCTTATTCTGGTCACTGGGCTGTGCAAATTGTGTTTGGAGCTCGCTAGCATTTTGCTATTCACTGCTACAAAAGTAACATTACTTACGCTCAGTCTGAACCCAAGCGTTAAATTCGCTAGCGATTCGTGGGTTCCTTTTGTCATGTTACAAGATAAGGCAGCGCAAGACACGAGTGCAAGCAAGAAAAACGACATGTACGAAACTTGAGCGTGCGCTTCCTGTAGAGCAGTATTTCGGGATTGTCTACTAACACGCTAAATTCACTGCTTCACCCTATTCGCTTTTGCAGTGCCCGCCAGGTCGTTCTCCTTCAACTACAGCAGTGCCGCCTCTGCCCTAGACGAGCAGGTGCGGTCACGTTCCGCGGAAAGCACCGTGAGGCTCCTGTGCGTGGCGCGGGGCACGTATCCGAGGCCGGACCTAAAGCTCTATCTCATCAGGAGAGGAGCCAGGCGGGCAGCTGGTGACGTGGGCATCCGAACCTACACGACAGCCACGATCGAAGACGGCCTTTTCGACGTTGCCCTTCACGCCGACATGAACGAAGGTCAGCTGTCCATGCTGGCCGATCTCTTCGAGTGTGTGTTGGAAATCCCGTACAGCAACTACGTGCTGACGCGCAAGATGAGTCTCGCACATGGTGAGTCAATGCGCACCGTTGTTGATTGCACAGTTTATTAGGGTGGGTGTTGCAACACAGTGCCGTCGCAGCCGAAGATAACACGTGCGCATGTTGACAAAAGGGTTTCTCTCATTAAGCATTACACAACCGCATCGCTTCGATTAACCGCCGTCAGAGTGAATAGAAGAAAGAAACTTAATTTTTCATCACTATAGTTGCAATATATTATTACGACCCGTTTACACATGACAGCTTCTTCACCGTAATGTTCTTTTTGTTTGCAGAACTTACCTGGGGAGCTTACGGTGAGTTTCTTCTTCTTGCCTCTACGTTCTGACCGTGATTAAGCTGTTGCAGAATGCTTTTGCACTCCTGAGTTTTTTTTAAATGCTGTGACAGAAAACGCGTGTATTTAAAAACATCCATAAAATACCCAATTTTGTACGGCGAAGCAGTTCACGACTTGGTATATGTCAGCCGTATAAACAATTGTTTTGTATGCGTGACTCAGATGTAGAGTGGGTATTAAACTTTTGGGTACACATATGGACACAGAGCAACATCTTTCACAATGACCGGGGTTATTACTACTTATTCTCAACTAAATTCTTTCTTTTTCTCCCAGCACAATGCTTTTCCTTTGCAACATTTCTTCATTATTTCAGATTCCAGAAATAGTGCGAAGGGCGAAAGGCTAGAGAGGACTACGACCATAGCACTCTGCTTATAGCGCCTCTTATCTTTGTTTTCCCAGCTGTTAACTAGATACTAATGGACCAGTTGAAGTTACTCTTACGTTGATTCAGTTTTGCCGTTTCCGGAGAGGCTAAAATAGACAACAACGTCCGCGCATGATTCTCAAGATATGCTATTGCTACTGGCGTTGACGGCAAAGTATGTGAATTGGAGTTACTCGAGTACCACTAGCATCCAACACTTTTAAATGTGAATTGTTAGTGTTCCTTGTTTTTCTTGCATGCCAAACTAGCACATGTTTGTATTAGCGGCGAACGTAGCCATCTGTTGCTTTAGCAGAGGTTTTAATGTAATCGCTAGAATTTCCTCGAATGAGCGGCATCCTCGTGACATCGACATTATAGGGCACGTGTAATGAGTGCAGGTCTCCTATGTTAGGGTTTCGCCCATCTCACGATATCATCGACATTGGAGACACATTGCAGAGACTCGCCATACAGCTAAACTCGCGCACTGTGGGAACCGTTAGTTTCTGTGTTGCCTTGTTTTTTGGCTGGCTACTATAACGTTTTACCTAAAGGGGCTATGAAAGTCAATTTTGAAAATGTGTTATTGGGGTTAATCCTTGTGCGCTTACAAACAAGCGGGCGAAATTTTAATCCATTGAGTTGAGTGCCTTGTATATTGTTATGCATATTTGATTTGGGTATGAACCTCTGGGTAGCGGGGTACAGGCAGATTAGAGAAGAGGACGTTGGGCTAGCGAGATAGGCCTCCGGTGCACGACCCCTTCAACTATACCAGTACGCCACAGCGTAATAAACACATTTATAAACGTAACAGAGTATTGGAAGTGCTGGGTACTGCACGTCGACGAACCACGGAGCCACAGCTGTTTGAACTTCGCCGGAGCCGTCGTCTTCCTGGTCTGCCACCGACAACAACCGTCATGGCCGAGAGCGAAGTGCACAACTTCTCAACCACGCAAAGGTCAGTGCCGGCTGCACCTCAGTATCGCTCTATGAAACCCCGCCCGTTCGCGGGAAGAGCAGGGGAAGATGTGGATGTGTGGCTGACATATTACAACGCTGCGGTACAACGGCGGTACAATGGCTGGGATCCCACTGATCAACTGGGAAATGTCACGCTGTTTCTCACAAAAACCGCCTTGATGTGGTACGAAAACCACGAAGATTTTTTAATAACGTGGGATCATTTCGCCGATGAACTCAAGAAATGCTTCGGCGACTCTGATTCGAGAAAGAAAAGCGTGGAGCGCACGTTGGCTCAAAGAGCCCAGACTCCTGGAGAAACGTGTACCACCTACATAGAGGAGGCTCTGATGCTCTGCAAGATCATAGACCCGTATATGTCCGAAGAGGAAATGGTCGGACACCTTCTGAGAGTATAGCAGAGGACGTCTACGATTTTTTGATAGGCAGGGAAGACCTCACTTCCGTATCCGCCGTCCAACGTCACTGCCGTACTTTCGAGAATCTGAAGACCCGTCGTATTGCCCCGAAGTTCAGTAGGCTGGCAAATGTCACAATGGTCGCCAGCGTCGTCGTCAGCCCGTCTGCCGATCTTGCCGCTACTATCAGGGCAATAGTGCGCGAAGAGCTACAGCGACAAGGCACACTGGCCGACGACACCATTCATCATCCGCCTACCTGTTCATCCTACTACCCGGCGCCGTTCGCTCCTCTGCCATCATCGGTATGTGCGACGGACTTTAGCGAAGCTGGAACTTCCTGGCCACGCCGAGGCTCATTCGCGTCTGACCAGCGGTATGACCGACGCTTTCGTACCGGCCCCGTTCCACAGAGGCCGGCAGTTCCCGTTCAGCAAGCTGCTCCACTCAGTTCGGGTAGGCGACCTTACCCAGCGGAGCGCTCTCAGCAGTGGTTTGGCGAACGACCCCTACTGTCTGCTACAACTGTGGCGTCGAAGGCCACTTTGCCAGGTACTGCAACTACCGGCAGCCGCCAAGGCACGACCGCTCACTGAGATCCCACCTGTCTGGCTTTGCACGAGCACCAACGTTCCCTAGAAGCGCATCCCACGAGATACCAAGGCCGCTGCGAAACCATTCTCCAGCCTTTGACCGCAGTCTGACACTCCCGCGAGCCCCTCGCTCCAATCGGCCGTCGTGTTCCAGGCACCGATACCCTTCGCCGCTTCCGGAAAACTAGTCGGCGCGACCATTGGAGGTGAGGTCGCCGGACAGTCTTCGATTTCCACAGAAATGCTTCCTTTAATTTGCATGTTAACGAATAAGGTTCGTGTGCTAATCGACAATAGTGGACACAGGTGCAACCATATCAGTGATGAGTCTAGCATTCAAACTCCTCCTTGTACGAAATGTTATGTTTCGTTGGGACCGTGCTGATACATTTCGTGGAGTGAGCGGAGATGTTTTACAACCTGTTGGTGTCTGCATAGTGACTGTTTTGGGTGGCCAGAATTTTATTGCTGATTTTGCTGTTCTCTTTCATTCAACGCATGATGTAATTCTAGGACTCGATTTCCTGAATCTTTGTGGTGCCACTGTCGATTGCCACAAAGAAGAGATTAAAGTAGATTCGAATGTTCCAGTAGCGTTTATGGAAAGCCCGCCCTGTATGAAAAGCACCCTTTGCGTGTCCATGAACAACACTGTACCACCCTTGTCTGCCAAGTGTGTTCCTGTCGTCAGTTCCCTTGCAACCGAGACGACATTTGATGCCACCGTAGAGCCCATTCACCTCAGCTGCATAAAGAAAAACGTTCTAATACCCTATTGTACGTTGTCGGTTGTGCAAGGGCATACGGTTTGTGGGGGATCAACGGCTCCAATGAACCACGGTATGCCAGAGGGTCTAAACTTGCTAAGATCCGTCAACATCAGGTGTTATCCCTTGCCATCCTTGAAGATAGCAGTGATTCTCCGGATAAGCCTGATTACAATCATTTGCATGCCAGGGACACCTCCATAATGACAATGATTGACAAATCTCTTAGCACCAACGAGCGTAATGACCTGGCGAGTATTCTGCGCAAACATGCTGGTCTTTTCGATTTCGCACAGCTATGGGCTCCACTGTCATTCCCTGGTTCCCGTGTAAAGAACCGCATAGATACGGCATGCCATAGACCTCCCAGACAAAAGCCATACCGGGTATCGCCTTCGGAACGCGCAGTGATAAATGAACAGGTTGGCGAGATGCTAAAAAAGAATGCGATTCAGGAAGCATGCAGTCCGTGGGCCGCTTCCGTAATATTGGTCAAGAATAAAAATGGAACATGGCGATTTTGCGTTGACTACCGCCGTCTCAACGCCACCACAAAGAAGGACGTGTACCCACTACGACTTATTGATGATGCTATAGACTGTCTTTCATCAGCCTCCTAATTTTCGTCTGTTGATTTGAGGTCAGGGTATTGGCAGATTCCAATGCACGAGAAAGATAAAGAGGAAACGGCATTTGTTACACCAGATTGACTTTTTGAATTCAATCTGATGCCATTCGGACTATGCAATGCGCCTGAAACTTTTGAGCGCTTCATGGAGAACGTTCTGCGTGGTTTGAAGGGGGAAGTATGCATGTGTTATCTGGACGATGTGATTTTGGGCGCACTTTCTGTGAGCACAACACAGGCCTCGACCTCGTGCTGAACTGCCTAAGCAAAGCAGCCTTAGTGCTCAACTCAAAGAAATGTCGTTTCAAAGAGCGCCAAACACTCGTCCTTGGACACTTGGTGAACAAAGAAAGCATACTGCCAGTTCGCGCGAAAACGGCTGCAGTGGAGGCGTTCAAGCAACCTCACTCAGCGAAAGAACTACGCAGCTTTTTGGGCCTCTCCTCATACTTCCGTCGATTCATCCCTGGATTTGCCAATATCGCGTACCCACTCGCGTGCCTGCTTAAGAAAGACGGGCCATTTGACTGGACTCCGGAATGCACGTCTGCTTTTTCTTAGTTGAAGTTCCTTTTGACATCCCATCCGATCCTTCGACACCTCGATCCTCTGGCTCCCACAGAACTTCACCCAGACGCTAGCGGTGTTGGTGTAGGCGCCGTGTTGGTTCAACACTTGGATACCAAAGAACATGTCGTTGCGTATGCAAGTCACTTGCTAAGCAAGTCCTAGCATAACTACACCGTCACAGAGCAAGAATGCCCCGCAGTAGTCTTTGCAATGCACAGTTTCCGGTACTACCTGTGCGGACGCCCCTTTACCATCATGATAGATCATCATTCGCTCTGCTGGTTGGTCAATCTGTGTGGCCCATTTTTTCGACTAGCGTGCTGGGCACTTCATCTGCAAGAGTACGACTTCACAGTTCACGACTAAAGCAGTCGTTGTCACGCCGATGCAGATTGTCTTTCGCGACTACCGCTTCCATGAACGGACTGCGACGCGGACAACTTCGACACCTACATCGCACCATTGGACCTGCCATTTGCTGATCCCAACGCCTTTAAGATTGAGCAGCAAAGGGACCGCACCATACAGGAGTTTCTTCCTACCGAGTCAAGACCCTCGGCGACTCGCTTCTGCATGCGCGACGGGCTTGTGTACAAAAAGAACTATGCTACGACCGGCTTACGATATCTTCTCGTGGTTTCGAAGGGCCTTCGCGTTTCCGTCTTGCAGGCTATGCAAGATGACCCAGCGTCCGGCCATCTAGGCACAGCGAAAACTCTTTGCCGGCTTCAAGAAAGATTTTACCGGCCGAAAATGCAAGAGACTACCAGCTACAGTCCGTTTTTTCTTCTGTATGTTCAGCCAGCTCATCATACCCTAGATACCATCTCTCTGTTTTCGGACCACCATGATTCCGGTATATCCGAGATCGTCTGCCGGGTAGAAGAAGCCCGACGTCTTGCTTACCTGCGCACCCTCGCTTCGCAAGATCGCTCGAAGACACGTTTTGACCGTCAACGTCGACACGTGACGTATAATTGCGGAGACCATGTGTTGCTGTGGGCGCCGTATAGGAAACGTTGGTAGTGTGAAAAATTGCCGGCACACTATGCGGCACCTTATGTGTTTCTAGACCACGTAAGCGTTGTAACTTACTGCGAAGCACGTCTTCATTCAAATGGCCGACGATCTCCAAAGACTGAACTTGTCCATATAGCACATTTAAAGTGCTATATTCCCAGAGAGACTCTTTAACTCGCCCGCGGAGTTAAACTCGTCAACGCTACATTCACTATATTCTCAGAGAGACTCTTTAACTCACCCGCGGATTAAACTCGTCAGCGCGGAGGGAAATGTTATGCATATTTGATTTGGGTATGAGCCTCTGGGTAGCGGGGAACAGGCAGATTAGAGAAGAGGACGTTCGGCTAGCGACATAGACCTCCGGTGCACGACCCCTTCAAGTCTACCAGTACGCCACAGCGCAATAAACACATTTCTAAACGTAACAGTATATATGAATATGTTTATAAACACGTGGCACACTCGCAACCCCTGATGTAACAAGGAGCTATTTGTGGGACCGTCTGCATTTCAGCGAAAGATGTTATGTGGTCAGCTGTGCGTGAAATCGACAAACGAAGAATATGCGGCGGCTAAAACTAACGGTAGAAGAAGATGAGTCCGCTTCTTCCTGCTCATGAAGTCGTGGCAAAGTGGTGGCCTTTGGTGGGGGGTGGGGTCTATGGCTAGTGACTGCTAGGAATTGTTTGCCACCTAATGTTTTCTTACTGCCCAGTTTTCGCATTTGTATAGGCATAAAGACCCTCTGCTTCTAGTATTCACTGAAAATCAATAGCTTATGGTTACAGTGTCAGGGCCAGTTTAATAGTTCGGTGTAACAGGCAGAACTGAATTTTTTAGGGGTGGGGGGGGGCACTACTTTGACCAAGCAGTCGGAACTGTGTAGGTTGTTGTGGCGCTTCTCTTCTAGCGATCGGAACACATAAATTTTGGGAGAAAAATGGGCTTCTTGTCGAACTTCCTGGCCTATCATGCAGCACAACTTTGTCTCATTGCTGCTCGGGCGGGTCCCCGATTAAAAGTCCAACTTTCGAGGTCTTCAAAGCTCAAGAGGACTTGACGTCGTGGTGTTCTCCCGCAACGGGTTGCCACTGCCTTATGAACTTGGTAGTGCCATTGGAGTGATGCCAAAAGGGATCACAATTAAGTAACGACATTCCAGTTGGTCGTAAGCAAAACCTTTGCTTTTTCCGGAGTTTTACTTGCTTTGATTGTCAGAGAAATCACCTTCATGCTAATGAAGCATCGACAACGTCACAACGGCCTTGATTTTTAACGTCGAAAAAGCCACGGTTTTTCCGGAAGACTCTGTGCTAACATTCTATAGTGCATATCAAGATTTTACTGCTGTTTTTTCAGGTACCTCTCCAGCTTCATGCGGCCCGGTCCTGTCGCTTTACACCATTATCCTGAGCTTAAGCATCTATATTGTTACTGCGTTACATAGAAATGGTGAGTCATACTCAACTGACCCTCACATGAAATTTTTCTGTTCAATACTACCTTCGTATTCAAAAGAAAGTGGATAGATTCTGCGCACTTTGCTCAGCCGTTATTTGGGCCCGAATGGAAGAACTCCCTGTTGGGTAGTGTTAGATGGGCTTCTTCTTTATAAGAGCATGAAGTAGTAACTCCTTTTAATCTGGCTATTATGTGCTGCTTTGCAGCGCACAGTGACATTAGAAATTGACTTATTCAGACTTGCAGTAACAGCTGGTTTTTGGTATATTTGACTGGTTAAAAACGACAATAAGTCTTTGTGTCGGGAAGTAAGTGCATTAAATTCGCACTGGCTATCTTGGGCTACATGAAATTTTCCCGATCTTTACGAATCTTTTATTTCTGGGCAGCTATGGCTAGATGACGTCACAGAGGCGTAGGCAAGCGGTGGTGAATGTAGACAGCATATTCGTAGTGATTGCTGTACTACCGTGCTCAATTGTTGTCAAGATGACGACCACTTACCCCACAAACACGCTAATGTGTGTTTCAAGCTAGGTAAAAACTTTTAGTGACTCTACATATTTTTACTGGTTATGCCAAATGATTGTCAAATAAAAGCAAATGACAACGATCTTCCCACGACATGATTTTGCAGCACACTGTACAAACCATCTATTCACTTTGCTTTTCTTGTGCAGGCCACTTTATCAATGACATGAGAACACAATTTTCGGGAATAATCGCAGGGTCGGTGGCCTGGAAGCACCAAGAACAAAACAAAGTTTCAATTGGGTTAGTAATCACAGTCAATAAATAGATTGTTCAGGTGTCCTGAGCTTGTTTGCGAAGCATGATGAGCATGCAAATAATTACCCCCTCCTTACGAAGAAGACATGCGGCTGGTTTATTTTTACATTGTTCTCTATCCGAAAGTTGGAAAACGTTATTGAAAACGAGGCCTCCCTTGGCTTCTAACCGTTTATTATACACACTCGGTATGATAATTGCGATTAATATTGGCTGAATTCAACAGGTCTTGTGCAGAGGGTTTTTGTATCTATATTCTGATAGAAATAAATCTACCTCTGGGCGTGTTTCCGTATCCTAAAGAGCGCATTACCATCCCCTGCAGTTGCTGTTGCATGTGAGACACAAGGAGAGAAATGTTACGTATGATATGATTCTACCGCCAAACATTGAATGAAAGGTAGACATTGTACATGGCGTTTAATAACTATCGTTATTTCGCCAGTGTGAGTGGCTGGTGCGGATCAGTTGTGGAGGGGGCAGTGTATGGAAAATAATTATGCATGCTGCTTCGTAGTCGGCCCTGTTTTGCTAGCACCACTACAACTAGATACAGAATCGACAGCGACGTGCCTCTCTACGAATGATGCTGTGCGTGGCGTTTTTCCTCGCGTCACATGAATCTTCTCGCATGTGATGACAACCGTAAGACCCGCTACTGCGCACCTGACAATATTGAAGCACGGTAAATAGCAATTGCACGACGTAAAAAAAATCGGCAGATCCCACGTACCTGGGAGTCGACGTTATGTGAAGCATGCGGAGGGAAGGTGACCGTGTTGCATTATTTTAATTGAGTGAGACGTCATGAAATGACGCTAAACATATGTACAAATGTTTCACGCACATACATATGCTGAAGAGTCGCATATGTGTATATAACCAGTTGTTTGCATTTGCGCAAGGATGCCAGCTGGAACATGCGTATTAGCAACACCAGAAGCTGATATGAAGCACTGATGCTCGCGAAAATGCTGGCCCTGGACATTGCTACATAAATGAACTTCAGCGCATGGCAACTGACCACAATTGACGTTAGACCGACGCGGTGGCTGTATCAAAGGAGTACATATGTAATGTTTATAAAATTGGGTAGGCACCACTCCAACAACTATTGACTTTTCACGAAGATTAGCGGCTATTTGAAAACTAGTTCCGAGACCTGGCGTAGCTCTGTGATAAAATGCTTCATTGCCACGCAGAATGCTTCGGTTTGATTCCAGCTGGGACCCTGACATTTATTTTTTGCGTTCGTCGGGTCGACGCTAACGATGTCGGGTATTTCTTAAAGCTGGCGCGTCAAAATTGCCCATGTGTGCTCTCGTCGTTCCAAGGTAGATACTGTCCATCACCTGTGGCACAAAACAGCATACCAGTGGCACATGCCCGCCCGTGGGTATGTTCACTGTCTGGTGGGAAGTGTTGACAACGTACGTGACGGGATTGTGACATTATTCATGTCTTGATCAGTGCGTCTTATTCGTCAAATCATATTTCCCTGCCATGCTAATTTTTGTTCTCGCCTAGTTAAGAAGGTTACCAAGAGATCACTTAAACGTCAACGGCTAGATAGATAGATAGATACGCGCAAAGTCACCGAATTTTGATAAGAAATTCTTCGCATTTAAAACCAGAATTGAGAAATTTTTTCGTGAGCAATCAGTATAAACTTTGGAAGTGCACACGGTAAGTAAGCTCAAGATCATCAGAGCATACCCAAATGTCACGTGACGGCTTGAAACTGGCTTATTTATGGCATCTGATTTAACGAATTTTCGCAGGTGGCATCGTTGGAAGGTGCCATGTATGTCAAGGTCTCCGAAAGAAAGAAGATGTCTCGTAGCGCTTCTGCATATGGAGAGTGTCCGCAGTTGTCTGACAGTTTAACAAACCAAACTGCGGATTCGTGAACATGGTGCCACTTTCAGCAGAACCAAGTCGTCGCCAAATAGTGTGGAACTGTGCTGGTGCCATACTTCGCCAAATGCCACATGACCACCCACGGTGAATGAGATATCAGTGACATTGGCAATGGTGAAGTGTTACCGCTTCCGATGAAGGACATCGCTTGCCTCAGCAGCCCACAACATCATCCGCAGTCATTTCCGAACGTGCTGCTCCTCTACACTTATAACGCGGCTGGATCGAGATACGAGGACATGTCCTGCATTCCTTGTAAGAGTTGCTGTTTTATTTGAAGGAAAGCAGTTGCATCCGTGCGTTTCATACACTCCACAATTTGATCTAACCTTTACATGGTAGCTTAATCTGGTTTTACAAGACTTACAGAGCTTCAGCTAGGACACTTGCCAAAGTGCTGACTAAACGCTGTCACTTGAGTTGACAGGATCTTCAAACAAATTGTGCTTCTTTCTGTCACAATAAAAGAAAGCACTGTTGAACATAAATGCTTTAATGAGGCATAGCTGGTGAAGTGCGTTTGGCTTTACATACAAGTGCCACCTAAACCTCCTATGAAAATACAAACAATGACCATTTTATTTCCTGTTGTTGTTCTTTTGCCACCTTTTAGGCAAAAGTGGTGAAGAAAGGGCACTGTTCAAGAAGCGTCGTGAAGAAATCGATTCTATATTGCTCAGTATATGAGTGATACGTCGTGAGGAATTAGGCCCTCTGTTGCTTTGTTTACGAGTGATATTTTTGGTCAACTGTCTCCTTGTTTGTGATATCTGTGGTCAACTGCTTAGTTTTGCTTGTCTCGCGGGACTACAGCACGCTATCAAACGATTTACCGTCAGTTCATGCTTTCTCACCTGCACAAGCGGAGGTGACAGCGTGTAACCAAAAACACGAAACATGGAGAGTTTATAAGCTTAGCAGTGACATTTTATGCATCGGTCATGCAGGAATGCACGGCCAACACGAGAGTCTTTGTACACGAGTAGTCCTTGTACAAAGGGTAGCGTAATCGATAAAAAAGCCACTGACTCCTCTTTGAACTTGCATTTCTTTAATAACACAGGGAACACATTAATGATCATATGTAAGGTCATGCGATGGTGCGTACGGTTGAAAAAAAAACGTACCAGCTTGTCCTGTACCATTTCCACGGATCTTTTGAAAGGTGAGTCTAGATTCACACGCGAGGAGCGCTCATGATGGCTGCGGTGCTTTGAATCCTTGGAAATGAGCGACAAATGTAAGGTTTAAACGCCAATGTGATTGCTCCAATTTCAAAAGAATTTGTGAAAATAATATTTAGAAAAGATAGACGTCTGCTCCATAATTTTTTATCAGCAATCTTGAAATAAAATTGATGTCACTTTTATCCAACAGACTTGCGTTTAATACAAACAAATAATGTAAAGCGTACACTGCGGAAAATAAGCACTCTTTATTTTAATTCACTGCAATAACAATTTCACAGTATTCAGGGGTTTCGTAGAAATAAACATTGTACTACCTAAATAGTATACAAAGTTTTGTCAGCACAGCAATTTTCAACACTGTCTTCCTCGGCAAGCTACAGCTCGGCAGTTGTCTTTCTCTTTAGTGCTTCAGGTCCCCAGAAGCTGTTCCAGCATTATCCATTCGGATGACGTACCGTAAAAAAATCGGGTTCGTGAGAGGGTCAACACATCAGTACCCGTATTCTCAAAAGCATTGTATGCTGTGGCGCGTTGATTCTATTGACCTAAACGTGTGTATGTGTGTCGTCTTCACTTTTTTTTAGATCTGGTCACTCAAAAGCATCTGACTCCAGCGAATTACGATGCCAGTCTTGTCATTATAAAAGCCGTGCTGACCAATAAGACCTTGCCCTTACGACAAATAATTTTTCGAAGTCGGACGAACGTAGATCAAATTGCAGCTGTCTTCGTGGCGCAAACGGCAATTTTCCTTAGCACTCTATTCTACACGGCGAAAGACTGATCAACGCAGAAGGAATACATCAGGAGTGAAGCGCAGGAGGGTTTCACTTGGTACGATCCCACTGTACCTTTCGAAGGGATTGAGCAGTCGCATCCGCTTCGGGGCATGCGCTGAACGGCACGAACTTCGTGCGTTTCTTTAAACACACCATCGAATTCACAAAGGCCGGAGGGCACTGCTGTCTCCAGGATGACGCGATAAACATAGGCACTGAAATCTGAAGAGCCAATGAATTTTCGAAGCTTATGGGCAGCGTGAGTGTAGGCGCGCTATATGAGCAGTTTATTCAGTGACGTGTGGTCTAGCTT